GGAAAGCCGGAGATAGCGTAAGGTAAAAGAATAGAGTGAAGGCAGTGAATATCAAATCCTGTAAAAGAATCAAAAAAACAGGAAAAAGAAAGACGAAAACTGAGACCAGAAAGTGTGCAATGAGTGCTTTTCCGCAAACGTAAGTGGTTCGGTAGGTGAAAAATCAGCTAAAACCTAAATCGTCGCGGAGGTGAGCGTGAACGAGAAGGAGAAGGTGATCTCGGCATCCTCGGCAGAGTCGTAGGTGAATCCGAAAAGATGAGGGTGGGAGGAGAAGTTGGAGGGATGGTGGAGATAGGAGCTGTAGTCGTAGTCCCCGTCGTCGTTCCAGGTGGAGAAGGAGGAGAATGAAGGAAAACGAGAGAAGATCTGGGAGTGGGAGAGGTGGTAGGAGCGGATTGCCCGGGAAGATGTGGAATGGCCAAGGCGGAGCATAGTTCGTTGGCATAGACCAAAGTAGTACAGGTAGATCGTCGTATCTGTTCAAGGCAGGTCTCAAGTGCGCGGAGATTGGCACTGAGACGAGGGCAGGTGACCGTGTCCACAACGGATGGAGTGACGGAGTCGAAAGGTCCACGTAGGATCAGAAGGATCAAATGTAGAGAAGAATGTAGATGAAGCAGTTCACGATGAAGTACCTCATGAGCAACAGCGGGTAGACCGGGGGTTGAAGTCACTTCCGTAGATCGAGTGGATGTCGTCGAGGGTGGCAGCGACATGGCAGCGAAGCGACGGATGGAGGCGAGCCCAAATGGAGGGGTGTAGATCATGGGAAAGCTGAGAGCCATGTAAAACCAAGAGTGTAAAATGTGAAGGCAAAGGAATAAATCACGGATCAAGTCGCATGAAACTTGCTGGTAGTAAGAGTGAAGGAAGTTTTTTTGAACTCAAGGTGGAAGAATAAGCGAGAAACTACCTAGAGATTCCTAGGGGTCGAACGAGAGTGAGACCGGGAGCGTGGTGGAGCTGTACTGGATCGATTGATCACCGGCCTGCGTGGACGAAGAGCAGAGGGGGTTCTCGGCGGAGGAATCGTAGATGCGCCCGGAAAGGAACTGGTAGATGGCATACTCCGTGTCGTAGCCGGGCCCCGAGGAGAGGCAGAAATCGTGGGAAAAGAAGGAAGACGAGGGTCAGGAAAGGTCGAGCATCCACGTAATTCAGCGTCCACCTGAGTAGTGTCGCAGTTCAAGGCGTGCATCATCCCAAAGGTGGTAAGAAGTTCGTGAACATAGTGCACTCCGTTGTGGATAGCCTGAGTCGCCTGTCGAATCGCAGAGTCCAGACCTCGGATTTGCAGCTGAATGTGTGGGGAGGTGATGTAGTCCATGAACGAAGGGTTGAGAATGGAGAAACGGGTGCGCAGGAGGGATACGGCAAGAATCAGCAAACCATGTAGATGAAGAATCTCGCGATGTAGGATAGTCTGGGCCCTCATCGTGATGCCGTCCACGGGGTTGAGGCCAACCGGAGAAGGGAACATGGCGGGAGGAGGAGGATCAACTGAAAAACTAAGGCTCCAACAGGTTCCAATGAACCTAGAAACTGGCTTTGACCGCTGTGGTCACCTTGTGCCTTGCCGAAATGGCTGGCTGCTTTGACCGCTGCGGTCACGTAAAGGCATAAGCCAACTTGGAATTCCAAAGATGAGACAAAAATCATCGGACGTACGGCCTAGGCCACCTGCTGTCCGCTGCGGACACGTACATCTCCAGGCAGGGGAGATAACGACGTACACCCGTTCGACGGGTCCACGGGAGGCACTCTGCGGGCTCATCCCGGGTTGGCACGAAGCCAAACACACTCATGGATATGCGTACTGACTTGACAGCGGTGCCACACGCCGGCCTAGGGTTCCATTTCCTAAGGGTACAGGTAGGGAAACCTTGAAAGGAAATCGAAGAAAAAGCCCAAGTTCCAAGGTTCCAAGTTGTAACCACGAAGCGATCGAGCGACAAGGACGACGGAGCGTGCAGAGTCTGCGGATGAAGAACCGCTGCAAAGGCTGGATTCCTTGTTCTAGTTAAAAGCAGGGCCCAAGATGAAGTGTCACAGGTAAAAAACTGCAGGTACGTCACTGGACGTCTCCAGTGATATCAGTACCACCACAGAAGCCTCTTCGTTGGACTGTCACTTCTGTGGGGTAGACAGTCCCCCTGCTGTGGAAACAGTAAAAAGGAAAGCTAACAAATCCAAAAGGATCCCTCTGACTCCAAGGGTGACACACACACAACGACCGCTGGTTGCCTGGAAAGGGCGGAACCTTTGCATGCCCACACCACGCTGCCCACTGCGCCCGACTCTGCGAACCCTTGGGCCGCGAACCCTTGTCGTGTTGGAAGGAAAGCTAGCAGACTCTGCTATGCAATTGGACGGAGCTGGTTAGAGAAGGGCTTGGAAAGATGTCACGATGTTTGATTGAAGACCACAATACATATGGCAATGCCAGTCGTGGCCACTGGATGTTTGTCTTCTTTGTTTGTATCAAAGAAGTTCTTCAAGAAGTTATATATCTCTATATGTATGCATATTTACACATACCACCTACTATCTATGCCATGTTATTTTGGGTTCATCTCATATCACATTCCTTTCTTCGTGCATCTCCTCAAGTGAAGTGACACTTTCTTCGCTGTCGGTCCCCTCACCCGTGAGGCGCTTCCGCGGCCCTCGGTCCAACAGCGGCCGCCCGCCGCGAGTCGGCCGTGGAGGCCGGATCGAGCCGTGTGGTTCGGTGCCTGTCTCCCAGCTGAGCGTGGTTTGGCTCACCTAGGGAGACCGACACCCGTTCCGACCTTTTGGGCGCCCCATTTTCGGTTCATCGACCAGTGAAATAGACGCGAAACTGGGCTCCAGCATCGAAGGTGGGCTGGAATCAACGAAGTTCGATGAAGTAGCACGTAGACGGATGACATTGGTTGAGTGCTCGCCTCCAGAGCTCTTTCGGTTCACCACGACAGACAGCGTGTCATCCGAAGCATTGAGTGAGAATGGTCATCCGAACCATTCGGAAAGAGAAGGAGAACCTTCCTTATCAAAGGCAGAATGTCGTGGGCTTCTTCTGTGTGGCGAAAGTGGGCGACAGCGAGCTATTTGGGGTCATCAAAGCGGAGAAGCGAGATGACAATGGGAAGAAGATTGCATACCAGGTGGAGCTGTATGCGATCCCAAAGCCGAAGCTCTGCTGCACGTGATAGCTGCTAGATAGATGTGATAATTCAAGGTGCTGGGCATGCTGGTGACGAGGTAGACGGTGAAGCACTGAATTGGTTTTCGCCCTGTGATCACACTGAATAGGTTTGTTGCTATGTTGCTTTTGTCGTTCTTGCCGTGTTTTGTAAACTAAGACTTAGTACGAAATCCACCCAGACTGGAATTACGCCAGCATAGACCCCAGATAGCATTCAAGCTGTCGCGGCTTCTTCGCTCGCGTTTCGCGGCAGCACCCTGCAGCGGCACCAAGCGCACACAGCAGCGCCCAACCCATGCTCCCAAGTGCACACAGCAACGGCACCCTGCAGCAGCACCAGCGCCCAAGCTCCCAAGTGCACACAGCAGCGGCGCCCTGCAGCGGCGCCAGCGCCCAAGCGCACACAGCAGCGGCAACCTGCAGGGGCGCCAGCACTCAACCCACGCTCCCAAGTGCAGACAGCAGCCGCACCCAAGCAGCACCCTAGCGGCCCCAGGGCCACCAGCGCCCAAGCTCCCAAGTGCACACAGCAGCGGTGCCCTCCAGCGATACCAGCACCCAGGCTCGAAAGCGCAGAGGTGCACCTATACTTGAAGTAGGAACCCCAATAGCTCTCAGTATCTGGGGGGAAAAGCAAAAAGCCTTTGCCAAACTTTCTTGCCCAGGAAGGTCATCGCAGCCTCTGATGTCAAGCACTCCAAAGGAAGTGGCTTTGAGAAAGCTAGGGAGAAGCTGGAGGCGAAAGCTGAAAGCCGCGAACTGAAGCGCCCAGATTCGTTGCTCGTTAAAAAACTGGAAGATGTACAGAGAATACTGTAGGGACGGCTGTGAGGCCAAGTTCTTTGGTGGCTTCACCAAGTGAAGTCCAGGTCATTGCTTTCAAGCGAAGGGGGATTCGCTTTGGCAAGGGGCTGGAAAGACACGGTTAGCAGCACGGGTGGAGGGAAGAGAGATCTCAACTGGCTGAAAACGGGCACGGCTATGTGGTTCCACATCTAGAATCTAGAATCTAGACAAAGCACAGCGAACTCATGCGAACCCCATGTTCATCCTGGAGGGGGGTAGGTCAGTTTAGGCTCAGTTTAAGTTCTATTCTATGTTCCTTCGGGGGGGCAGGTGTGGGGTGTTTTTTGGTCAGTCAGAAGCACTGCTTTTCAAGATCGCCCGTGTAGTTTCCCAGCTTTCATCCGACTGCAACTGCAACCCCAAAAACGGCAAACACATTCACCGGCTTCGGCCCGTCTGCCGCACCGCGTTCACGGCGGCCGCGAGGACGCGCCTGTTGGCCGGAGGGCTCGACGGCAGGCGAGAGCACCGCCGTTGAAGCTTCAGAGTTTGCTTTGGAAGGGGGAAAGTAGCTGAACTTTTGAAACCACCAACACTCACCGAAGAACATCCAAGCCGAGAAACATATGAGATTGATCGACTTGTTCTTTTTCTTGGTTTATTTGGAGTGACGTGGGAACAATGGGTGAACACGAACATCTCTGTGTAATTGGGTCTTTTGAGCTAGAGGCTTTGTCGTTTGGTCATACGTGTTTTTTTTCTTACCATTATCAGATGTTCAGAGCCAAATAACGAGGATTGCGGGTGGGCAAGGGCCTTGACAAGGTGTCCAGGATTTTGTTTGTTTCGCGCTCTGGTTTCTGGCATGATGCGGAACGGGATTGTGTTCTCAAATGGGTCAAAACAAGATGTCATGATGTCAATATGTTTTCTCCTGACATGGCAGATGTGCTGATGAAGAGTATTGGATGTGTCAATCAGCAGTTTCGGCTTCAGAGATCTCAAAGCTTCTTGGCACGCCACCATGAAGTTCCAGAGCTTCTCCGAAGCGACAGAAGTTGGCTTATACTGCTGGAATCCCGAGGTGGGGCTCTGGTACCGGACCGGCTCTTCTTCGGCTCAAGACCGTGTCCTTTTTGCTGTTTGGACCCATGTGAGTGTCTTTGGTGGGGGTATGGGAGCGTTTTCAATCAAGGGAGCGCACTGTCAAAAATCAGAAACTGCAGCAGTTTTACAAGACAGGCTGAATTCATCTTCATTTAGCGATTGTGACCCTTCACCGACCTTCATTCACAGTCTACTGTAGACTGTAGACTTTGGAGCTTTTTCGGCATATCAGAAGGGTTCGTCGCCCAACTTGGCCTTCGTTCCAGGGCGGACGGCAAAAGCGCTTCAAAGATGTCACCGTGGAAGACATTCAGCGAGGCGGACGGGGTGACGGGGGGTGCGGATGGGCGCGGGTCAATCCAAAGAAATTGGATGGAATGGGAAAGTTCTTCGACGAGCCAACGCAAATAGTAACACTTCTTAGCTTTTCAGGTTATTGGCAGTTATGGGTTCTTTTCTGATCTTGTTTGTGTTGTACTCCCAAGCTTTGACTTGGTAATATGTTGGTCACCCTCCATTAACTTAGTTGAAAGGACACAGCAGTGGAGGTTGTTTTTATGTCGGCAATGAAACTTCAACTAAAGACTCCGTTGTAGACAAAAACAATTCTTGCACACACTGGTAGAACATGGTAGTTTGACCTGGATTATGATCTGCTCGATTTGGCTCAATAATCCTGACCGAAAAACCGGCAGATTTGTTTGTGAGCAGCCCCGGCAAAACTTGTTGTGTGCCCAAACCACATGAATGGTGTATGTGGTGTTAAGCTTGATTTGCAATGCTAATGCTGACAACATAGCCAGTCTTGCAACCGGCGTCCACGGCAGCGGTGTAACCAAAGTTTGCTCCTCTTTATGGACAGACGTCTTGTCTCTCGTTGCTAGTTTTTTGGCCAACATGAAATACGTCGATTTCATTCAATTTCAACATCGTCTCCTTCACAAGAAACTGATCTTGCAAAACTTTTTTGTGCCAGCAATTCACGCTTTCTGTGCCAGCAATCTCTTCGTCCTGCGTCCCGCCAGGCTTGCAAACACCGACCGAGCCTCCCAAGCTTCAACTGGATAGGGTGAGATGTCCCCTGACTCTTGGCGCAATCCTGGGCAGGGGGAGAAGAGAATGGGAGAATTGTTTGGTTTGAACAGACCCACACACACATCACATACGTCAAGAGAAGCGACGATGAATGCCATGAACTTTCTTGGAAAGGCTCGGTAAGTCGGAACAGGGCTGAACAATCCAATCTAGAGGCAGGTGCTTTGAAGACCAGTGACTTGATTGTTGTTTCACGCGTAATGCATAGCAGCAGTTTGGGATTCTTCAATGTTTCGTGACAAACACAAGCATGATCCAGGAGATTCCCTGTTCCTTCAAGGAACAACAGGTTTTCTGGCAGCACATATACAAGGGCACTATCAAGAGCTCCATTTGGGACTTGAGGAGATTTTTAAGGCTATCACCATCATTGGGGGTGTCTTTTTGCAGTTGACCCACATGGCATCAACATGAACATCATGCAAATTCATTGTTTCATTCGGCGAACCCACAGGGTCCCGTTTTGCTTGTGGCCCGCCGACCTGGCCCAGTGGGATGTAATCCAAGTGCGCGACACAAAACCTGTACCAACCAACCAGTACTTGCAGGTGTTCGGCCAGCGCTTCAACTTGCCAGTGCATCCGTTGGCAGTCGGGGCAGCGTGTTGCAGGACCTTTCTGCAGCCGGAGCGCTGCTATGGCCCAAGCGCCCTGAACATGTTCCCGCACGACCCCGGCTATGTGGTGTCCCTGTATATGGCGAAGGAACCCCGGACGTTGAATCCAGAAAATGGGTTTGGGCCGGCCTTGGCATAAAAACATGACGATTCAATAAGTCAAACATCATTTGCCTTGAGATATATATATATATATAATGACTTTCAAGTAGTGAATGGAGAATGTGGAAGATGCTATGGGCTGCTGGAGGAATGACGCATGAAGTAGGCCAGTGTGGTTCCCAGCTGTTTGGAGCAATGAAAGCACATGAGGAATTTGCAAGAAAAGGGGCCTTATTGGGATTTACCCACAGAAAATGGTACAAACGAGGAATACTGGTGCCCCAACAAATATGTCAGCCTGACAGGAGTTTTTGATTTAAAACCTGTACCAATTGAACTGGATCCTGCTAAGGCGAGTCTGACCATGCTCCTGCTAAGCTGGTTCGCAGATGGTTTCTGTCCAATTCCGCATTCACCGACAAACTGAGGTTCTGGGTCACCCACCCGGTGAGCAGTTTATTCTACTGTATCACGTTGTCTGTTTGCAGTGGCTTTGAAGAACCCCAAGACTTGTTATTAGGGCAGTTTTGCAGCGAATTCAGCACTGAACAACACCTGGGTAGACCTTCACAAAGAGACACCGGCACATAAGAAGGCCTCACAGTGTCTTCGGTTCTGCGGAAAAAGACCGATGTCTTTGGCACTGCCGGAGGAAATGGGTGTTGATTTGGACTCAGTCGACTTCTTACTCGGTGGATCAAGCTTGAACATCATGGCCACCAAGCGGATCGAAGCAGGTGACAAGTACCTTTGGCTTGTGAATGCTTGTGATATATTTCGCGTCAGGAGTGGTTCTAAAAGAAACTCTTAGATGAACTACACATCCAGTGGGCAAAGCCACACGTGTTCCAACCAAGCTCGAAGCTAAAGGAGCTCGAAGGGGCACAAGCTGCACTCCGAACACACCCCGCGTACCAGGTACCTCGTCCAGCGCGTGGGGTCACACGATCATCGTGGCCAAATCCAAGCAGTATCAGCAGAATTATGGGGACATCGGCTTCCAGTTCGAACGCTTGGTCACAGGCGAGCGCCTGGAAGGCCCTCATGATGTGCGGAAGCACGAGCATTTGACAAGGCGGACGATTGTGCCTGGGAATCAATGTGACAGAGCTCCACCGGTTGGCCTCCGTTCACCATGGCACAATGTCAACGTATTGAATGAATCGACAGTCAGACAGTCGGTTCTTCTTCAGACACCAGCCGTTCACCATACCATGTGGTTCGAAACCGAACATGCCAAACGTCTGCAAACCAAGAAAACCAGTACTGAACTCCCCAAGAGTCGGAGTTTGCATGTTTTCTGCTGGTTTCCCTTGGACCCTCGGTCCCACCGTGTCCACCGTGGGTCGCCCGGTCGGTCAGAGGATTCTTGGAACGTCCTCTTTGCGGCGGAGATCGATGCGCTCGACGTGGATGGAGTGGTGGAGGTGAAAAGCGGCAACCCCAGGAACTTTGCGATGAAGGCGCCGGGGATGAAGGTGATTTTAGATGCGTAGCAACCATGGAAACGGCAACGCGGGCTGCAACTTGCGTTGCTGTTTCCGGGCTGTTTCCCGGTCTTTAAGGTGGTAGCCAGGCGTCTATTTGGAGCCATAGCCATCTGAAAACCAAGGCTGCTATAGTGGTCATGAAACCAAGGTGGGAGCCTTTTCGGGAGCTACATGCGGCTTCCTATAATTCTACGATTGCAATGACAGGGCGGGTCACAATCGTCGCCAACAGAAGTTTGCGTGTTTGTTAACAAACAGGTTCGATTCTTGGGAGCTCTAAGTCACCATCTTCCACCATCACACCACAGAAGATCACCACCTTTCTGTTTTGACTTGTGATCACTTGGATGTCGCCCAAAAAACAAGACAACCCCAACGGACGGGCTCTGTCACTTCACTCCTCACTGGAGTTGGACGTACAGTACCTACACCTGGAACCCCAACATTCGCCACTAGAACCCCATGACAGTCCCAGTCTGATGTACCTGTTGGAGGGCCCGTCCGGTGCCGTCGCCACACTGGTTGACCGTCTCTTTGGGTCCGAAGGAGGCCGAGCGAAACGAGGCCACGCTCGTAGCTCCGAGTCCACCATGCAAATCTGTTTTGGGGTAAGGTCCTGACCAAAAATTACAGGAGAGAGATTGTTTTGATCTTGAGTACAGCTTCTTTGGAGTGTTCTTTTGGTTCACCATGTTTTCGCAAGCTCTCTCACCCTCATCTTCACCAGGTTCTCTTCCAGATGATCTCCAACGGAAGCAAAAGGCTTGTTCGCGCAGATCGGAGGCAAGATCGCCTGCTTTCCATTGAGCAAAAGAGCTTGGAGAGGCCAGCAACGGAAGTGGCCGGTCACCATGGTTTTGTCGAATTCTGCTCAGCAGAATTTGCAGGAGATCTTTGGTTGGGCAGGGTTTCCGAGTTCTATTTTGTTGGCTGCCGAGAGGAAGATCATGACTACCTTTGGTGCATTTTGAAGAGCTAAAGTCCATGACTGCCTTGCAACCAACGACCTTCGTCGGACTGCAAGTGCCGACAGAAAAAACACCTTTGTCCTCCTGGGTGGTAGGACGAATTCAGTTCTGGGAAGGTGGGACTTGATGACAGGGATGTGCTTGATCAAGGAATTTCCCTGGGTTGGATGACACATTTCCGAACTGTGGAAGATGGTCTCAAGGGTGAAAGATGTGAAAGGTTCTGGCGCGTGGATGTTCTTTTTTCCCCTCTCCTTTGCCTGAAACGACACCCATCCTCTGGCCAGGATGTTCCTTGATCACTCTCCGCAAGAGCTTCGAGCTGCAGAAAGCAATATCCTGGAGTGAGATTTGCTGTTGTGAAGGGTCAACGGTGTACAAGGGCACAGGGGCAGCACTCAACAATATCAATAGCATGGATTCACATGTTGTTAAGGGCCTCATTTCATATGTGGCATGAGCTGAGCTGTGGGGTTGCCAGCAAGACTACGAATATTATTAGAGACTTGAGTGCTTTGGCTTGAGGGAAGCGAGGGGAACAGCGAAGACCTTGATGTCCTTGCGATCTTTCTATGCCTCTCAATGTGCTTTGTCTTATATAGTTCTAGGGTCTTTGTTTTTTTGAACCACTCCGATTTGCAGATTTGCAGGAAGTTCTTTCGATGCTGAAACACGAGCTGGGCGAAGGCCTTTGGGAGCTTCAGCACCTCGACACAGCACCGGAGTGGGCCAATGGACCGGTGGGACCGGTGGGATGTCCAGATGCAGATGCGTTCCTGTTCGTTGAAGCGGGCGCCAAGCCCAGGTTCCTCGGAGGGAGGCCGAGCCTCGTCCCAAGCAGGGGCGATTTGCTTCCTTCAGAGGAAGTCTTGAAAGAGCTCCTGGCATAAGGCCAGAGGCGTGGTGGAAGATGAGCTTTGGCTCCAAACCATAGCTGCGATAGCCATAGGCTGCTGTAGGCAGGCTTTTGGGTGGGAAGAGCAGATCGATGGTATAGCTGGTTTAGTTGCCGGGGTGGATTTCTGTGGCATTGTATGTTCATTTCTGTTCGTGATGGCTGGGACTTTGCAGGAGTAAGCTGAGTGGATCTATATCTGAACCTCTGTGTCATGCGTAGTTGGCGATTCGTGCGCAACTGGGTCTGTGGGGGCATGTTGGAGGTCTGACTACGGTTTCAGCGGTGTGATTCATGATGGCTTAGTCCGGAGGCAGTCGCAAAAACGCCGTGAAACCGTACCAATGTGCTGAATTACCAGAAGCTTCTCCATGAAGATCTTGTGAATTCTCCTGTAACTCATCATTGATGTTTGTCCTAACAATGGAACCAACAGGTTTATGAGAACACACTGGTTTGATTTGATTGATCCTTTCTTCATGAAGGGATGAATCAAAGATGGTTGTTTTTTGATGTTTATTTTTTCAGAAGGGGTGGCCATGGGGCCTGGGTAAAACCAAAACCCAGGCCCCATGACCACCCGCTCTCTATTTTTTTGTCATAATCTCTCTCTCACGTCCAAAGTCTTTGTGGAACTTCCCAGCTGGTTTATGTTGCATCTGCCGCTTGTCGCCAGGCCAGGAGGACACATGCGAAGCCTGTTTGAACGTTCCAACAGGACAGCTGTGGACGTTCCAACAGCCAAGTGAAAGGTCAGTTCCATTGACCTCCGGCGGCAAAGCTGAGGGAAGCGAACTGAGTGTCTTAGAGTTGGCTGCCACTCCTCCGGAGTGGGTGTTTTGATATTGGGTGCTTTGATGAGAGGACTGGACAGTGATTCTGGCCCGGATGTGCCAAACTGATTTCGAAGACTCCGCTCAAGGTCCAAGATACTCGACCGGTGTGCCAAAAAGTTGGATTTCCATCCAAGTGAAGGGACAACCCAAACACCCATGACCAACAGGAAGGGGGATAGGAACCGGGAATCTCTTAAGACAGTAGGCGCGTACAGAACAAATGGCCCAGCAAGTGAATAGGTCAAAAGAGGTCGAGACTAGGCAACAGCACCATCGCAGCTCTTCTGGTACACGCCGACGAAACACATCACATGGACCATGGAAGCGGAAAGGACCATTGATTTCTGGGAAACCATCGTCCAGTTCACATTCCTCATTCCATCCAGTGATTCATCCTTCCCTCCGACGCGGTGTTTTCCCGCGAGTCGCGGCATCATCTGGGCTTCTGCCAGCGTCCTCGAGTTTTGGATCTCGTCCGTTCCACGGATGGAACGCGTGGTTCGCCGGGCCGCTGCCCCATCTGAGAGTCCATGAGAGTCCAGCCTTTCAAAACACCTCCCATCACAGCTGGGCCTCACCAAAAAGCACAGCTGGGCCGAAGGCTGAAGGCTTACTGACACGGCTTAGGCTTAGAACCGAAGTCCAGACATGTGTAAACAAGGACTTGGGGCACCGAAGCAAGCGGCTAGAGGACCACTCGCTCCCTGGCATCTCTGTTTTGCCCACGTGAAGAAATCGACGAGCGGTGAAAAGCCAGTGGCGGAGCCTGCGAAGACTGTGTGTGGTCGAGCAGGGTGGGGTTTTCACCTACCCAGGAAACGTGGATCACCTGAAAGCCTGTTTTTTTGGGTTCACCTACCTTACTAGCAAGAATAGGTGGAAAGCTCGGTTCACATCTATTTTTCAGGGAAATGGCTCGGGAGTCAGTTCAGGATTTGGCTTCTCGGAAGCAATGATTGCAACCCCCAGGCTTGGGCCTGGGCGACCAGTCTGTGTGACCCAAGTTGGGTCCAATTTGACACGTCAAAGGACACATCGGATCACTTGGTAAAATGATGTCAACTGCATCGGGGTTGAAGCTGCAAGCAGATGCTTTTCGGGTTTTAGCAGGTTGGAGACGAGAATAGCACTGGGGTGATTAGCGGGTGTTTTGGCGTGGAAACACCGTCACGGCAGGCCTGGAGAGCTGTTGGGAGGGCGTTTTGCCCATCCTGTTGGAAACTCACCCAATATCCGGCTGTTCCAGCTTTCATGAGACTTGACCGAAAAAAGAACAGGTTTTTCTGGTGGCACCCGGAGCAACAAGGAGCACCGTTGAACGCTCAAGATTAAGAAGGATCTACAGGTAGATTGCCGGATTTGAGAAACTGCATAGTCCATCATGCTTGGATGCTCACTCCTCTTCCTAGCCCACGGCTGTCTCAAGAACCATGCTTAACAAACACCTACACAGGCTACAGGGTCTGCCAGGGTCTGCAGCAATGGTGTATAACATCTGATCTGTTGGGGGGTGTCAACCCTGGTAGGCGCCGACCAGAACCTGACCTTGCTTGCACCCTGAGCGGTGGGGTTTCCAGCATTTTCCAGCTGCACACCTGAAGCACCCGGAAGGCTTGGCAAGGAACACCTGAGCAGCCGTCTGAGAAGGACAGTGTTTCACCAGGTTGAACACGAAGTCCATTTTGTGCATGCACCTGAAAAAGATTGATGACTTCTCATGCTGCCAGAATAAACATATGTCGGAATATAATCAGATATCAAACAGTTGGACCAAGCACGATGCAGGCATCCCAAGTTCAAGTTGACCCTTGCTACTAGTCTCTCAAGACATGCCAAATGTATCCACATGTTTGGAACATGAGGATGCAATGCGAAAGAAGCACTTGTTTGGAGTCAAGACTCTCAACGAGAACCCCTCACTCAGGCCGTCCACTCATGTGCTTCCCACTCTGCAGATCGGGAGCATGTGATACGGGAGCCCCGGGGGAAATGTAACATGTCGGCCGCGCTGGCCGTGAAGAAAGAGCTTTTGGACGAACCTTTGGAACAGGAACAGTCCCCCTTGGGTGGGCTGCATCAGTCAGGGATCATCTTTGGTATGCCGGAAGTCCGAATCATTTCCAGCACTTGAACCGTTGATCCACAAAACACTTGCAGTTCAGGTACTGTTTACGCCTGTGAAGTGGGAAGAAACAAAGCCTTGGCTGAAAAGGAGATCATATGAAGTCAGCCCTCCGACGTCAAGGACGCCTCATCGAAGGCTTAAGGAAGGACGCTGGCACGTTCACAAGCACTGTAGCAAAACCTGTTCAAGCTGATGTTCATCAGGTCTGCAACAAGCTGTTGGTGCCTAGAGCACAAAACACATTTCGGATGGTGAGAAACAAGCTGGCAAGGTCAGGCTTTTGGGGCAGGCAGAGTGCCTTACAGAAGCGAAAAGCACTCCCAGAGATGGGGCAAACGGGTGCTTTTGAATCCAAGGTTTAGATTCCTTATAGTTCACGTGTAAGTTCAGGGATTCTGTTCCGCCATGGACTGCTGCTGCCCCTTCTGGCGCTTCTGCAGCGTCTTTGGATGGGGCTCCGGTCAACAAGAGGCCTTCCAAGTGTGGCGGATGAGTCTCATGCACTCCCTCCAACAAAGGATGACAAGGGCCATACTGGGCCTAGAAATGTTGATCGAATCGAAACACAGCCTTTTCCCAGCACAGTCCTAGTTCGCCCAACTTGGCCATCGAGCCATCATCACGAGCGGCGCCGCGCGCCACGCGCTTGGCGTCACGCCACGGTGTGGACGCTATGAGGCACGACAGAGAACTCCAGACGAATTGCTGGAGGAGATCTTCCAACAGTTTGAGGCCTCCAGCAGCTGTGAGATTGGAAGGAATAGCTACTCCGCGCGATTACCATCCAAAGGTTTGGGGTTCTGGCGATCTGTTGCTGGTGGCTCGGAACTCATTCTAACCCCTTTGATTTCAAGCTTCAAGCTGTGCAACACCATGATGGGTATTGCAGGAGTGGGGTTGTTGGCTGCCATCCAGCATGATGTAGCGGCGGCAAGACTTCTCACGAACCCACGTCAACTGCAAAACCAGTACGCTTCGTTCAATTCTGCCTTCAACATCTCCTTGTTTGATTCAAGCTTTGGTTGTACAGCTCAGTCCTTGGTAGCACATGGCACGCCAGATCTCATGCGTGATTTGCATGACAGGAGCCTGGTACTGGTGTGATCCAGACCTCTCATTTGACTGATGCGCTGGCCAAAATGAACCTGGAAGACTTTGAGGCCACACTTCCGGGGGAGGAAATTGACGTCTACAACTTCCGCTGACCGTAGGCGGAGAGCGTAAGAGCATGCAGAGCTCTTCATTGGAAGCTGAGGTACATTCTTGTGATTGGAGGTTTTCCTGCAAGATTGTTGGACAACCCGTTCTTGTCGATTGCTTGGCTTTATGTAGGTCAAGTTAGGTCAAGTGAGCGATCTACAAGTCTACCTGTTCCTCACCAATGCCGTGGGTCAGTCATGAGAATATGTCAAAACACCATCCTTTCACTCCAGACATTTGAAGGTTTTAGACCGGAAAGATGTGCCTTCCACCGGCAAATCGCCAGGACGCTTCGGATGACATCGTTCGACAACCTCTGGATTTGGCCGATGTCCATTTCGCGCAGATGGACAAGGCAGACTTCGAGGCCGGAAGGCATTTTGAGTGGATCCATTGAAGAAATAACGGAGATGAGAGGATGTGTGAGGATGCGTTTCTCTTGCATGACTTTTCCACAATTCTTGAAGTCCTTGAGACGGCACCTCCAAGTCCAGGTCCTGCACCGCCGAAGTCAGTCCTGCGTCCTGCGTCGCCCGAAGTCCTGCCGACGGCCGACTGCTCCGCCGACTGCTCCGCTACAGGTGGAGCTGTTGAAGAAGGTCCTCAACTCCCTGGGACACCCAGAGCGGCTCACTTTGCGAAGCTTTCAGCAGACGATGAAGGAGATTGTACCAACCAGTGGGGAATGGAAGGGAATGGAAGGTAGTTGTTTTGGGGTGTTCTTGAATCCAAGCAGAAACTGCAGAGGGATGCCTTATTCTGAAAGACTTGATGGTCCTTTCCGAAGCTTTGTGGATTGCACCATACATCGTGTCGGACAGAACTCGCTCAAGCACTGACTGACCTCACGAGACGTTCCTAGAGACTTCGGAGACTTCAAAGACTGCCCACATGGGCTGCTGCTTCAGGCCAATTATCCCGGTGTGACCTTTTTGACCAAATATGCCTTTGCCGGCAGGAAGTGCTTGCTGGGTGGTGTGCCAGGGAGCAGGCGCGGGAAGCTTGCAGCTCTTTGCATGGAAGTCTTGAATGTTTGGTGGAATGCCTTCATTTGGCTGGCCTGAATGGGGGAGGGTCCTGCTCTCTATAGTGCAAGCAGCTGATGTTTGAAAGCTAGGCAACTTATTGCAGCTTTCTGCAATTAAGCGAGTGATGATGCCTCGCATGCAGGTACAGGAAGCATTGCGCTTGGCACAAGTCTTTGATCCCAAGAAGATTGGTGTTTTGGCATGAACATGGATATTTTGATATATATATATTTTTTGTGCATGGATTTTGGTATGGCTAGAAGATTAAGAATCAGTGAGCCTGCGTTGGTTACGTACTGCACCACTTGAGCAGAATCAAGCACAGTTGCTCGCAGCAATCTGAAAAGCATGGCCATCAGATTCCTCATATTGAAAATGATGGGAAGAAGTGTTGCAGGGTGTTGCCGTGCTGCTGTTTTGCTTAGTGATACCATGAACTGCAGTACCTGGGTTCAGCCTCCCAAGTGACAGCCCCAAAACATCAACTGTTACTTAAGCAGCGGTCTCTTAACCAGAGCTGAATGGCACAGGTTGAGTTCTGTGCGTTTCCGTTCGTCGAAGCTGTGAGGTGTTCTTCCTCGGCCAAGCATTGTCAAGATGGTGCAGCTATGGAGTCGGAGCCTATGCAGCTAGGTAAAGGCTGCTAGCCAACACCCATGTTGCAGCATTTGTTTGTATTGCATTGAATGGGGTGGCCAAGCATGCGCCATGCGCCATGTCGGCCTATCAGTGTGGAATGTTTCCTTTTTTTCCGATTTCATTGCTGAGGCAAGAGTTGCTTCTCAGAGAAGCAATTGGAGGAGATTTGGACCCCGCGTTCTTTTCTTCTTCCATCATCGCTGTCCGTACGTGCTTTCACCCGCGGCGAAGAGAGAGGAGTATATAAACATTTTGACCAAGGGGGTTTATGATAGATTCCTTCAGCTGCTGTCTTCTGCAGCAAGTTCTGTCGTTCCTTTCATTCGTATGCAGGAGATCCTGAAAGATGTACCCTCCAATAGCTGCTTGTCTTTCTTGGACGAGGGAGTGTAGAGAAAGAGAAGAGGAAAAGAACACCTTTGGTTTTCATGACGACTATTTTGCAAAAGTGGCTTAGTCCTTGTTGCATCAAGTGCTGGTGACAGCTGGATACTAGATTCGTGCTTCCTATTCGTGGAAAGACTTTGACTAAATTGAAGCATCCTCTTAACATGAACCATATATGTCATTTATCCTGCTTTCTTTCCCAGCAAAGTTCTGACGCGCTTCATAATGCGAACTGACCATATGGATGTCAGACTTCTTTCCACAGCTGCCGTCCGTCTTGGTGCAGCAGCGCCTTTGTTCAGCCGCCTTTCCTTCTCTCTGGCGCCTTGCGCGCCTTGCGCGACCAGGTCAAGGCTTGGAATATCGCTACATCATTCCTTCCCTCCTTCCACTCAAGGCCGCCGTCGACCGAGCTTTTGAGATCCAAATGCCCGAACGGTCACCGTGAGGGGAGCGGTGGGGAGGGGCAAGCCACAGGCAAAACCCTCCGGATGGTTGGGGGATGACAGCCATCCAAGTGTTTCTGTAGGGATTTTCCATCAGGTTTTGGCCGTAGCGGCCGTATGTTGTGATCGTTTTGCTCTTGCAGTTGCAAATGCTTGCTTCTTCCAAGCTTGGACTGGAGGCCAAATACGACTTGGAAGACCCAAAGTCGTTGGCCAAGTTCCTCATCGATGCTAACATCCGATTAGTGCGTGCTGAGTGCCCCCCTAACATGTAGGCCAATGTGCAGTGATGCTCAGTTTGTGCATGTGGATTCATGGACCATTGCTGTAACACGTTGATCAAGCAAGCTTAGTTGGTCTTTCCTTCCAGGTACCTCTACAAGCTGCTCCGGTCAAATAGGTGCATGCCACGACGCCAAGAGGCAGAAGACGAATGTTGTGAAGTCAATGGTGCGGAGGTTTCAGCCTTGGTGTCCCACCAGGAAGTGGCAGATTGGGCTTTGGGGCACCGGGAGGCGTTGATTTGTTCGGTGTCTCACGCATGGGAAGCTAGGGAGCACCCTGATCCGTGTCGCTTCCAATTGGAGAATCTGGTGAGCTGTGTGGGATTGTACGATGCCGCATATTTTGATGATCTCTGGATATTTTACGATTATGTGTCCTTGTTCCAATTTCAACGACACTCTGCTGAGCAAGAGGCCAGTTTCCGGCGGGCCATGGGCAACATGCACATGCTGTATGCTCACCAGAGCACCATGACCTTCCGCCTTGAACGCCTCACACCTCTTCCTTTATGGACTGCTCTGAAGGAAGATTTCACGTACAAAGTCCTGGTGTACCATGTGCCCAGCGGTGCAGTGGTGCCAGTTCCACTCAGCTTCCTGGTGCGAAACGGCATTCTGTACCGAGGCCGCGGGTGGTGTCGCGCTGAGATTGAATGGTCTGCAACACGCGGCATCCAACAGAAGAATCTGGCTGTGGATGGTGAGCCAGGCGAAAGGGGACGCATGAAGAAGGTGCCAATGGCTCCAGCAATGTTCCAGAGGCATATGGACACTGCAGCCTTTACACATCGGGATGATTCAAAGAACGTTGTGCAGCTTCAAAAGAAGATTTTTTATGACAAGGTCACAGCGCGAAAACAATTGAATCTGATGGACTTGTCAGAAGCTGATATGATTGAGCTCACTGCTTCGCTACTGCACTTCAAGGAGCTGAAGGTCCTGCGGATCAATATTTTCTCAGCGGGTAAAGCTGAGGCCACAGCCTTCTTCCAGGCCAAGCCTCGGAGAAATCACTACACAAGTTTCCTTGTTGTTTTTACCGACATCGTTGAATTGAGCAATGTGAGAAGCATTCCAAGGTCTTTACCGAACCTTTTGACGCCAAGATTTACCTTGTAGGCGCTGAAACCTTTGACCCTGGAGAAGTTGGTGCTGAACTCGGCAGTTGGGAGTGGCGTCCACGAGGCAATCGCCAAGGCCATGTTTAGGACAACACTAGAAGTTTCATTCCCCCAAAATGGAAGATGTTCTGTCACACAAGAAAGAATGGATCGCTGGTTCTTCATTGAGCGTCCGTAATCCTTAATTTTGTTTTCTATCATACTGTCAGTATCGGAATTTGAGAGGCACAGAGCAAAGAACACGTCATGGTGTCCACGGTGAACTCCCAAAGGCAATCTCCATATTTAACTCTTCAGTCCCTCGTTCTGCTGAAAGCGATTGCGCTTTCCTCTCTGTTGGGGGGTCTTCGATCACTTCGTCGGGCTCCCAGGGGCTTCCGCAGATCAACTTCAGCTGTATGTCCGAGCTGGACCTTGAGGACTGTAGGATCGGGAACCTAGGCGCTCAGGCGGGGAAGAAACGGGTGAACGGGTGAAACCCCGAAATTCACGGAGCATGGTTGAGGCCCGGCGTTGAGAGCTGTTGGCCTGTTTGTATTTGTTTGAGGCACTCGGGGAGGTGTTAAAGAAGAACGACACGATCACGCATCTCAACGTTCAATCCAATGATCTTGGTCCTTTGGGCATTGAGGCTGCCCGTTGCACCGTTTCTTGTCCTCCTTTCAATACCACACCGCTGGCAGGTTTTGGCAGAAGCGCTCAGGCACAATAGCACCCTCAGAGTCCTCAGCCTTCGGCAGAATCACATCGGAGATGTGGGTGTCCAGGCTGGTTGCTCCGTTCCTGTTGTCCTGCCTATGACACACCGCGACCAGGCATTGGCAGAAGCGCTGAGCCAGAACAGAACGCTCACAGAGATTTACCTCAACTGGGAGCATCAGTCTGCTGTGGGCGTCCAGGCCCAGCGCTTGGATTCAAAGCTTTCCTTTTGGATTCAAGTCGAAGTCGGCAGCATCAACAAAGAATCTAGGACATGTGCTTAAAAGTAAAGACCAACAACTTGGACAAGAAGGGCCGAAGGGAATGGAAAGGCAAACAGCGAAGTTGCGCAAGGCACTGCAGCAAGTTGAAGAACGCCTCAAGGCGAACAGAGATGCTGCCCAGGCTACTGCAGAGGCCGTACACAGCATGTGTTGCGTACTGTTGCGTATTCGCTGTAGTTCCAACTCGATTTTGCACATTCTGCCCATGGACGAATCAATGTGAGTCTCTATGAAGCAATCCACGCTTCTCGCGGAAAATGCCACGCACATGTTCCTCTATGTTTCAGGCTGCAGAAGTTTTTACAGAGAGAGAAGCAAGACGCCAGAGCAGAGAAGCAAGACGCCAGAGCAATCGACCTGGACGTCCGCGCCTACAGGACCACGCACTGCGTGAAATGTTCACAACTACAAACATTCTATTCCCTGATGTGAATAGTACTGAGCCTTCTGCAAAGTGCATGTCATAACAACGAGTAGGGCTTTAGTGGGTTTGTGGTAGCATTTGATCATTTGATCTACATAGACAAGTGACAAAAGACGGAACCCCCGCGACAACGTGAACTTCGCGTACTTTGAAACGATTTAGTATTTGCCACGCAAACACACTGGCCAGGGACTTGCAAGAGCCTTGAAGGCTGACGGTATCCAGAGGAAGATCCACTTGAGTGGAGAAAACATTGGAGATGAAGATCTTAAGGCCTGGCTTCAGGAGAGCGCCAAAGGCAAGCTTTGTTGGAAGCTGTTCAGGTCAGGTGAAACGTAATTCTATATTGTATAGTGTCAGTCTTGGGCAGGCTTGCGTGCACGCATATCATCACGGCACACTTCTACATTTTGGCTGGAGAGCCTGAACGGACAGTGGAGATTCTGTCTGGAACTGGTTCAGCAGTGCCGTGTGTGGGCCACACCTTCTATGGCGATCATTCCAGCTCTCCATTCTGAGGCTCAAATCATCACCCCGGCGGCCTAGGCGGAGTTTCACAACCATGTTGAGGACATTTGAGGACTTCCTTGCCGGCATGTCGCCTTTGGGATTCTGGGGCTCCATGGTTGTCTTCGAACATTACCCACGGGCATGCGGACTATGGGCAACCTAGTCGTCGGTCTCCGGGGTGGGTACTCCTTCCCGTGGATCGGGATTCTGTGTGGGGCCCAAGCTGACCAGCAGGTGGCGCTGGAGTCTGCCCCAAAGATGTGGCACCTCTTGAGGTCTCTACGGCGACAGCCGAGGTCTTCGCCCATCTTCGCACTTCGGGCTTTTACGTCATCCGGGGTCCGGGCTTAGTGCCACTAGACACTGGCGAGTGCTTGGCTACTCCACCACTGCCCACTTTCGCACAATTTGCCCGCCCCCGCCTGCACATACTGTGGTGACCTCCCCTTCCCGGCAAGCCTGTGGTGTTTGGCGGGGGCTACTGGGTCTGTGCGCCATATCGTGCGCAGGTGCGAGGTGCGCAACGCAGGAGAGGCAGCGGGTGACGTGCCCTTGTCGGCTCGGGCGGCGGAGTGGCAGCAGCGCCATGGTATGTTGGCTGATGCGGACAGCTGCTTTCCAATCAGGCTGCCGTCATCTTGCTGAGCTTTGGCTTGTCGCCCGTGTAGCTTTTGTCCCGCCCACTCCGGTAGCCGGACCCCGTGGGTGTTACCGCTCCTTTTGTTGTATTTGCATCATGGGATGCTTTTCACCTGTGGCTTCAGCTTCGGGATCGAATCTGGCCAGATCCAAATCGCTCGGGAGCAACCGAACGATCAGGTGAAGGTTCCAGTGAAGCTGGAGCATACCAACGCATCATCGCTGACTTCCGGCGTTAAACGAACCACAGTATTGGAACGAGGAAAAAGGATAGCGCACTGTCTCTAAAGAGTAGTAACCTTATGAAAGATCTGACTGTGATGTATAAAGCGACCATTGCGAGGTACTTTGTGATGCCTTGAAGCTCAACAACAGTGTTGATGAGATCGACCTCCAGCGAAATCGAATCACAGATGCCGGCGTGAAGGCCACACTGTTTTTGTCAGCGTTTTGTTTGTTAGGCTTCGCAGCTAATCCAATGCCAGGCACTTGCAGAGGCACTGTGCCAGAACAAGCGCATCACTTTGGTCAACCTTATGCACAACGACATCACTGACGGAGGCATTGAGGCCTTCTTTCCGCCTTGCCATGCAACTGCTCATGACATCATGCAGGGCAGGTTCGTCATTTTTCACTCACCGTCCTTTGTTTGCGCTGACCTCAATCAAAAACAAAAAACAACATAATCAGGTAAGCAGTGAACTTGGCTGCCGCAACCACAAAGGTACCACCTGATCCTGCATCACTGCATGTTTTATCTCCAGGTTTTGGCCGAAGTGGTGCGGTGCAGAGGAGGCTTCCGTAGCATACTCCTTGGCTTCAATCCCTTCGGCGAGACCGGGCGTCAGGCCTTTTCGCCCGGTCCATTGCTCCGTCGGTGCTCCATGTGTTTCAGTCGATGTGGCCGTGGGCTTGCTCCGGCTCAGGCGCTCCAGCGAATCAAAGAACGGTGCACGGAATGAAGAAGTGCTTCTCATCGGCTTGGCTGAGGAAGTAAGTGCCTTGGATGAAAACCCGAGAAGGGATGACCGGACACTGGGTGGGACGTGGATTGCATCGGCCCCTGCACTTCTGAAAGCCTTCTAGCTGGAATATTCTGATGACTTATGATGGCTCTCCATTTTGATCAATTTTGGTTTTGACCGTGGGATGTCTTATCAATCCTTCCACTTTCAAGCGATGTATCCGTCCGAGATCATTTTTGGGGTTCGGTATGTATTTTTGCGTCCAATCTTCGGAAAGCGGTCTCAAGCTCATCTCCACTTGGCAAGGTGTCCCCTGCTGCTTCTTGTGGGTTACGGGTCGGGTTTGGGAAGGTGTTGATGTTTATGGTCTATTTGGTGGGTGTGCTTTTGGCGGGTCCAAGAAGGGCCATCCTGATCAAGAACCAGCCTCAGGAGGTACCTGGACCCTTTTGGTTTGGTAATGAGTTCACACGTATGACTGCCGTTTGGGAAGCTAGGAGCGCTTTTCGTGTACCCTCTCTCCAACAATCATGGAAGTGGATGGCCTGGCTCCTGGAAAGACCATTCTCCTCTACCAACAGGGGGTTGTCCACTTCCACGTTTGTTGCAGGGAGGGTAGTTCACTGAAAAAGACAGCGACAGGTGATTTTTGGGGTCCACGCAAGGTCCTTGTTGGCAGACTATTGGCAGAATCAGAGTGGATAGACTCAGACTATTCGCCTTGCCCAAGGCTGTATTACTATGACATCCATACTTGGCTGCAAGGCGCGCATAAAAGACTGCGAAGCAAGTGCGTAGAATGAGACTGCACCATTCACTGCAATGCTTCTGTACAAGGCAATTGAGGGTTTCCCCAAAGAAAGTGATTGGATGTCTTGATGTTGCCAAGTTTACAATTCGGCTGGCAGACCATACTAAGACTCCTGGAGGAAGCTTCCAAATAGCTCCAGAAATGTCGTTCGTTTGGCAACACCATTACGTTGGAAGCTATTAGGTTGGAGGACATCGCTAGTAGGGTGGAGGCCCTTGCTATTAAATTGGAAGCTATTAGGTTGGAGGCTATGCTATGACCATGTTCATGTAGGAACACGTGCAATTGCGTTCGAGGCGATTCAGGGTATCCTAAGCCACCAAGTCGTGGCTTGCAGCCCAGTACACAATTTACAAGCAGAAAGATTATGCATTAACTGGCACTTTGGATCCTGCTAAGTGTCTATACGCTGCTGTTTTGGCGGCTCTGCAGGGTCGCATGCCTGTCATGGCTTTATGCCACAAGCCCCAGGGTGGCTGAGGGTGGGTCTCCGTAAAAAAAGGGTGCACTGAAGCACCACTTGAACCCCAACGGAAAACCAGCGTGGTCACAAGCTGGCTCAAAAGCGACGCTTTCCAAAGCTTCTACTTTGGATCCTGCTAAGTGTCTATACGCTGCTGTTTGGGCGGCTCTGCAGGGTCGCATGCCTGTCATGGCTTTATGCCACAACCCCCCAGTCAGCGCACAGACCAAAAAAGGTTCTACGTGTAGTGGATTCGCTTGTCCACTCTGGCCATTCGGCCTGCGAGTTCTTTCAGTACCTCTCCACCATCATAGAGGTACCGCTGCACGGCAGAGCTACTCCACCTTCCCATTCTTTTCACCAATTCGATCTCGCCCGAGGCCTGGAACAAAGCGCTTGCTCCACCAATCCGCAGGCTGTGGCTCATGAAGCGATCTTCAGGGAGCCCCTCGGCCGTTGCGGCCTTCTGTAGCACTGCTTGAACCTCCGTCCTGCGGAGTGTGGGCCCATTCCCCCATCGAAAAAGGGGGAAGTGAGCTTCAGGGCCTGGTGAAAACCTCCGCTGGGCTACCAGTCGTAGCTCTTCAAGGGCTCGTACCGGACAAAGGAACAGCTCGCCCGTAGAGCCCATGGTTTTGCAAGACCCGAATGCTTCCTGATCCGCCTTTGTCTTGCGGAACTGAAGCGTGACTTCATTTGCTCCTTCCTTCACATCCTCCGTTCTTGGTGAGCCTGACGTCCATGCCCCGGATGATCATGTGGGCGTCCACACCCCCCGGAGTCGCAGTACTCCTTGGCGCGAAGCATAAAGAACCATGCCACCAGCAAGGCCGCTTGCACCATCGCCTTGTCGACCTGGTCCTCCCCGAACAAGTCGCTGTTGCACAGGCTCTTCCCAACCCACACTAGCATTCCAGGTGTCACACCCAGACGTCGAGGCTTGCGCTCAGCGTGTCGGTCCAGCGAGGTGACCAGCATCCACACCCTGAACATCCCTTCAGTCGGGTCACCTGCTCCTCCCCGTTTATGGCCGTCCTTCACCGCGAACAGCGCCTGCTTGATGGAAGCCGCTGTAGTGCCCAGCCACCCAAGGTAGCCCAGGAACGCCAAGAGCTTGTCCTCGTTCTCCAGCTTGTCTCCCTTCACATTGAGGTAGCAAGAGGGCCAACCTTGCCGGGCCGCCCACGCTTCCCACTTTCCCCACGCGGATTGGTACATCCGCAAGGTGGTGGCTGCTTTGCTTCGAGCAATGTTCTCTTCGAGCCACTCCTCCACATGAGTCTGAACTGACCCATCGAAAGGAATCTTCCTGGGCTCCAGCAGCACATATTGGTCAGCTGGCAGTTGAGCAGGCTTCACAGACTTTGGGCGTCTGCCCCCAGCGGATGTGTCCTTGAAGTACTCCTTCATCGTCACCTCGGGCATCTCCTCCGTGTCCAGGTCTCCGTCGAAACACGACAGCCATAGGGCCTCGCCCAATCTTGAGACAGGGCGTTTGAGTGGGCCACCGCCAGCACGTCCATCTCCGCCGAACATGTCCCCCGCGCCAAAATGGCGATGCTTCCACTTGCGGAGCCAGGCCAGCAACTTGGCCATGGATAGGTTATACGGCTCATTACCGATGGCTCCAGCCTTTGTCCCCTCTTCGAGGATCTCCCCGAACTCAACCAAAGCACCCGCCATCACCAGCAAGTTGGAAGTCACTTGAATGCCCGTGGCTCTATTGCCTTGATCCGCTACCTCCTTCTCTGTTCGGCCCTGTCGGATGAGCTCATCCCATGCCGAGCCGGTTCGTCCTTGGCACACCCACACTTCGCGAGCTTGAAGTGCACAAAGGTGCCCTGGTCGGCCTCGTCGATCGTAGACCTCCAGCGCCTCAAAGCTTCCATCCTTCGCCCGTAACGGCCACCTTCCTGGACCCGCCATCCCGTGCACATTGATCCTCCCCTCTTGGGGTGAGTCCCAAGCATGGCCCACCACCTGTGGCAGCAAAGGCCCTGTGGATGCCGGGTTCTCCTGGCTATGGCTCGCCCTTTCCAGTGAGGCTCCAAGGGGTGAGGCTGTCACCGTTTTGACAAGGCACCTCTGCACGATCTCCTCTGTCACCTCGAAGCGTGCTCCCACCAGACAGCGTCTCCTGCGTGCCAGAAACTCCCCTTAACTCTGTGGACACGAACTCGATGACAACGCCTTGAAGACCATTGGCCTCAAGGCCTTCACGCGCCTGCTCCCAGGGCGCACATCTCGGGCCCTCCCAGATCACAACAAAAGGCTGGAGCTTGGCGACCTCCTTGATGAACTTGGCGACCAGGACCCCCTTCTCATCGACCGGCAAGGTGGGGACCACGACGGTGAAGTTGCCTTTGGCATGGGGCTGACTTGGCGCCAGGCTCTCGAAGTCCTTCCGCCACCTGTCCTCGCTGACCAGCTCGATGACATTTAGCTTCTCCCACGGGATTCCCACCGGCTTGTTAATGAAGCGCTTGAGGCGTTTCTCCTTCAACTGAAGCATCACTTGGCGATCTTCCGGGTCATGCCACGAGAGAAAACAAGGTCCGAAGCGGGCTGTGTCTTCAATGGCCTTGGAAATAGCCGGCCCCAGCTCGACCTTCGTCCAGCTCTTCTTCTCCAGCATCACCACGAACTCGTCGTCAGTGCACCGGGTGATGTAGTCAGAGTCGACGTTGTGGTAGGTCCTCCACCAGCCGCCAACCAGCGTGAAGCCATAGTTCATCTCGCGCAAGTTCAGCGCGCGGACCAGCAATCTTCCAGCCCTCGACCCACTTTGGCGCTTGCTCACCCATTGCCTGACCGTGGAGTTGTCCCCCGCATAGAGCACCACCTTGCCACGCCACATCGGCCCCCTCTCACACATGAAGGCGACCAGCGACAGCATCATGTCTCCGTCGTTCTGCATCTCCTGCTCCGCGACTCCTTTGAGCCATGGCTCCAAGTCCTTCACCGTTGCCCGGGCTGCCGCCCCAAACGTCCAATCGATGGCCCCAATGACCTGGGTGGTGGCGTCCGATGAAACCCATACCGTCTCCTGCCACTCATTGGGAAGAGAGAGGCGCTCCTTCACCGGCAACAGTTCCTTCAAGGTTGTGCCAAAGCGAGTTTCCCAACGGTCTGACCTCGCACACCGCCACCGGCAGACCTCGAAGAGGCTCCACAAGTCCTCCCATGCGTCCTCCGTCTCGAGCTCCTCGTCCTTGTATAGCCCAGTCGGCGAGGTCGTGCCGGGAGCCCCCCCTCATCATTCGAAAGGAAGATGTCCGCCGCCTTCAACTCATTGGCCAGGCCCCTTACGACCGCCGCCCACCCAGTTGTGATTCCCCGGAACTGCTGAATCTGACGGACAGTGACTCGCTTCTCACCCACATCAAAAGCTCCATCTCCAAGGAGGTGGGAACCTCGCAGAATCCTTCACTCAGGGAGGAAGGCCTTCTCCGAGTCGGCATTCATAGTGAGTCCCCATATCACTTGCTCGGCTTTGAACTGGCCCTCGATGGCGTCCTTCTCCTTGTTCACGGCCTCCCGGCCCAACATTTGTCTCACGCCCGTCTCATAACAGGCTGCTGACACCCAAGGGCGAAGGCCCAGGACCGGCTCCACCAACACCGCGTCGTCGACCAGGATCTTGCAGTCAAAGCCCAGTTCACCATCTCGACGAGGTAGTCCCGGGCGATGTGCGCGATGGAACTCCTCCGTTGCGCGCCCCCACGGCGTCCATTTCCCTGGCGAACCTGAGAACCCGAAGGACGACACCAGGTACAAGACCGTCAGCGCTCGTCCCCGCACTTCTCCCACATGACCTTCCTCGTCCATCATCGCCTCGCTCTTCCAAGGGCGTGGCCTCGGACAGGCTAGCTGTGGCCTGTGCTAAAGCCCACAAAGGTGGAGATGCCAAAACCAAGGTTGCACCCTGCGAGGCGCCGCGAAGGGTTTGAGGGGTTCCGTCGCCTTCGGAAGCATAGAAAAGAAGAGGCTGGCCTTGGCTGCTAGCACCGTACGTGGCAGCCGAGGCCATGCCTAGGCTGCGTGGCCTCGGACAGGCTAGCTGTGGTCTGTGCTAAAGCCCACAAAGGTGGAGATGCCAACGCCAAGGTTGCACCCTGCGAGGCGCCGCGGAGGGTTTGAGGGGGGCCGTCGCCTTCGGAAGCATATTAGAGAAGAGGCTGGCCTTGGCTGCTAGCGCCGCACGTGGCAGCCCAGGCCATGCCTACGCTGCGTGGCCTCGGACAGGCTAGCTGTGGCCCCTGCTTAAGCCCACAAAGGTGGAGATGCCAATGCCAAGGTTGCACCCTGCGGTGTCCCAGGCGCCTCCCGCCTAGGCTGCGGCTAGGCTGGGGTCGGCGGATATATTGGAGTAGTTTGTGGGTCAGGGTCTACTATAGTTGAACTAGTTGCCGATAATAGAGATACCTTGCGTACCCATCAACCCAAAAAGTTCCCACTGGCGCCTAACAGATGTTGACCGCCCGTCATTTCCGGGCTGCCTCCTTTGGTCCACTGCAGTGGCAGCAGCGTGTTGCCCTGAAGGTCCTGAGGTCGGCACTTCGCTGTTCGCGCCTGAGATCCGATTTCTGGGAGGAGAGAGAAAGAGAGAGAGAGAGAGAGAGAGTCGCATGCGAATAATCAGAAGCTATATAGACAAGTCTGGGCGGATAAGGCTGTTGGATTGGATGAGTTCATGTCCGTTTAGTTTTCTGAATTTGGAGACCGGATGGCACGACTATCCCTTGTTTGTGCAGAACAGATTCTGAGACATTCCTCAAAGAAATGGTGTCAAAAGGGTCTTGGAAGCCACTGTGTTTGTTTCCTCCACCCATCGCGCAGCCGCTGATATTTGTTGGGTCCTGGGTCCTGCTAAGATAACAGGGTAGTGCTGAGCAATGGTCAAGGCAAAGATACTTGCCCTTCCAAAGATTAGACTGAATTAACTTAAGCAACGCCAAGTGGCAATCATTTGACCAATGATCAACCCTTTCTAGAGTGGCTCACCAGCGGATTCCTTAGCAGTATGTTGATCATCGCCAATTCAACCATCTCCATCGGTCCAAAGTAGACCCAAAGAGCCTATGCAGTCCCCGCGGGTCATCAGCCTGATAGCTTTCCTGTCACCAGCACCTGGGACAGGTCGCCAGCAGATGCTCCCCTTCGTTTGGTTGAGATACATGGGGGTTTTAGGTAACGGTTATATTCCTTCTGGTGGGTCGACTTGAGGTGGGGGGAGACTCACATTCGACCAATCTTGGGGTCTACTGTACCTATATTATACACATATATTATATATATATATATTTGTACACATATGACGGGGGATCAACTTTTATAC